TAGAACTCTTTTAGCTAAGTAATGTTGTATATCATAACTAAAACAGATGTCGATCGATTTGCACGTCTCAGAACAATTAGATTAGCGTTGATTGAACGAAAGCAACTAAAACAGGTGTCACCTAGTCCTGCTCAACAAGCCCTCACTGTTTTGCCTTGTTTTACAGCATCTCGAGGGCGATTGTAATGCAACATGATCACTTCTCAGGCGGATAATGAATAGCCATGAGTTCGGTGTTTAGCACACGACAACCCACGTCATGTAATGATAACAAGCACCTCCATACGTCAAGACTTGGAAGACTCATTGATTATAATCTAAGGTCAACGACTAAAGTGCTAAGTCTGGTGTAAAAATTATGTGGAGACAAAATAAGCTCATTTCTTGGATGTAAAAAACTAGCTTATCAGACACAGAGATTACATAAACGTGTTTGAGGATGAAGATTAGCTTTTGCTGAAAGTTGCAGGAACAAGACCAAAAAAACTGTTTGTTTGGTCGTACTTTGAAGAAATTAGAAAGAAAAAGAAAGAAGTCCAGGCCATTTCGTGTCATAAACAGACCCAGTATGAAACTTATTCAACCACTGACTAGCCTTAGTAAATCAAATAGTCGCTTGACCAAATAGTCGCTTGAAAAGTCACCACGATTCTCAGTGAAAGTCGAGTACGCGACTCAGCTCAAAATGAGACCTGACAACGTCCACTGAAAACCCCTTCACCCTACTTATCATTATCGACACATTAATAGGTGAAATAATGAATAAATTGCCAACCTTCACAAGCCGCCTATAGCATAGTGCCTATAGTGACAGCCATGACGGCTCATCCCTTCCACTTAACCCTTCCCACAATCCTTCCAATTGCCTTAAATATTGAACAAATGACCCCTGTTGTTCTAATGTGCGACACTAGTACTGCGAAGAATACACTCTGTCGTCGCAGGTGTTGAACGGACAACTGTTTGGTGCAATGGTAATACAATCTCTTGCCGCATTGGTCAGGTGCATATGCACCACATCTCATTTTTCAAAAGAGCTTCACCTGTGACAAATCAACTTGTGATAGTAGTTCCTCGATCACATCCTCTAACTCCTTGTCCGTGGGTTTGCTCTAGAAAACCAAGGAGTTAATGACCGGTGACTGAAGAAAACAAAATTGCTCTCATTTCACTTACCTCTTCATGTGTTTCCACAGAGGTGCTGGAACTTGTGTCATCGTCGCTATCCTAAAATACAGAAATAATGCTAAATGTTCCAGCTTATTCTTTTCCACAGGTAATGCAATCAGAACACATATTCAGCGCCTCGAGAAGGGTAAATGGAATTAGCTATTACAATGTTTGTTAATTTAGAACTTCTTCATAGTGTCTATTAAGAAATCATAAAGATTAAGAGATTTTGAACTTCCACATTAAAAGATCTCTTAAACTCATTTACCATAAAGGTTCATCTTATTAGCTGCACGCAATGTTTGGCGATCGTAGAAAAGTGACACCAAGGTGTCGTCGCAAACTCTCGCGCCGTAGGGTGCTAACCCGATTTCGCTGCTTCCTTCAGGAGTTGTCTTTACCACTGGAAGTTTTCCTTTCGAGGGTTTCACCTCTGTTACAAAAGCGCTGGGACCACTTGCATTAGCGCTTAGATGCTACGTTCTCTGGGAAAGCTGTGCAAAGTTTGCAATCGAATTCATCGATTGTTCTCCCTCGCTTGACGCAGTCTGAGCTCAGGTCCCTTGACTGAATTAAAGGAGGATTTTACGATTAGAATGGAGGTCGAGGAAGAAGTAATTCACCTAGTTGAGTAACCCACGGACCTCCTGAGGGTGCGAACTGATGCGCAATTCGCATCGAAAAATTTGACCTCGGCGACCTATTATGCCTCAAAGTTGGCGGGTCTGGCGATCTCCGCCCACCGACCAGCTGATCACTCGCCGCAGATCTATACGTGGGATTGATTAGATAGCAGAGAGAGCGTGATGTTGAGGAGGGCACAGCGATAAGAGTCGCATCAATGCGCAAATCAGCGGGGAAGGAAGGGGTCCCATTTCTCGGGTTCTGGGCCGTTTCTCATGGTTCTTCCTTCTTTCGTGTACCAATCACCATCCCTGAGTTAATTTGAAATGGGTTGCCTTCCCAGCGTGAATTCGTCCTTTAAAGAAATAAAGTGAGGGAGAAGAAAGCCTTCAAATCGTGCAAAAGTCGATACTCCAATGTTTCCACTTTAGGCAGGGGCCTTTTGTACAGCCAAAGGATAAAGTAGTTGAGAAAAAAAAATGAAAACGAATGACATTCATATTGAAACAACATAACGGTTATTCTGCATTACTTTCTATACTTTGACAAATAATGTCAGAAATCATGTTTGCGATTCAATTAGTGGAAAAAAATCACACCGATCTCTTCCTCCCTCTTCACCTTGGGAGTAGGATCAAGCAGCTAGTAGTGAGTAGGATCAAGGAGCTGCGCTTCGCAACCATTCTTTTAGAATTTATACGTAACATTAAATGAGGCTATAAATCTAGTCTTCTTTATTACCCTCTTCTTCATACTTTGCCCCTTTCTTAGCCTATGAAAAATCAATTCATAGCCCTTGCGACACTACACTATACTTGACCTTGTTTGTATTGATAGTGGACTGTTGGCCGTGAAAAGCAGCGCGCTATGAAGAACGTACCTTCTTTGAGGTTTCTTTTGGCTTCTTTTTTGGACCACTGTCATCGCTATCCGTATCAGCTTTGGAAGTAGTGTCTTTCGATGCAGTAGACTCTCTCTTCTAGAGTGGAATATAAAAATGACTGACCTCCATTACAGAATCATAATATCAAACCTTTCTCGGTGTTTTTGCCGTATCAGCCTTCTTCGGCGTTTTCGTAGATGCTTTGGCAGGTGTTTTCGCTGATGCCTTTGCTGGAGTCTTCGCTGGTGTCTTTGCAGCTGGCTTCTTTTCTTCCTCATCATCATCATCTTCGTCTTCATCGTCACTCACAACCTGAGCAGATTTAGGACGATCAATGCTGTTGCCAGAAGGAAAGATTAAGGAAAGACAATCTTTCACCACAGTGCAATAGCTCTGAATTGGCACTGAAGAGGAATACATGAATTGTGAAATAGAAAATCACATAAAATTTTCTAAAAAGGCAAACCCAAATAAAAGAAAAATACTAGGCAAAAATAAAATTCCAACGATCATTTTGACAAATTTACTCTTTTTGTTAAGGTTTCATTGAAGAACTAGAAAAGCGTCCCAGATGAGCTAAGTGAAAATGTTTTTACCTCATTACTGCCTTTCGCTTTTTTGACACGTTTCGCCGACGTCGGTGTTTTCGTAGATGACTTGCGCTTCGTCGCTTTTGGCACACGACGAGCATGATCAACAGTTTTCATGAGGAAAACCATGATGGTAGTTACCTACAAATCGATACAGTAAACGAAGCCACAGCGCAAAATAGTGATTATAGCTACCAGTGCGTCCTTTGTGTGACCACCACTATGTAATCCAAGTACGTTCCTGATTAATTTCAACTGATCCAGAGTAAGTTTGCTGACAAGTGCAAATTTCCTCTTGAATTCTGGTGAATCTTCCTTGAATCCAAATCTGGAAGAGCGAACCTATAGCAATGATGAGAACCTATGCTGCACAACCAAAAATTCAGAGTATAAAGCAAAAAGAAGAACCGTGAGAATCGTGATAAATCGTGAGAAACGAACCCTGAGAACTTTCGTATTTCCTTCTTTATCGTCGTCAACTTCCCAGGATTTCCATACAATACTCGATGCATTGTCTTAAGCTCCTCAGCGCGGTGCTTTTGTAATTGATCTTCGACTGGAAATACATTATACTAATCAAATATATAGCGCTCAGAACACGCCGTATTCAATAATATTAGTACATGCGCCTGGAATCCTATAGATGATTCCGCCCGCAAAAGTGCGCGACGAATTGGCAAATAGCGCTTATCAAGAACAAAAAATTCAAAATGCTAGACTTTGTAGCGAAACTTCTAGTACTCTAGTTAACTTGTTGTTATATATTTTCTTTTCTTGAGTTGTAAAAAAGTGAAAAAAAAACTTGGTACACCTTAGTCAGCAAAATGCAAGACGAAAAAGACTCCTTCAAAAAAGACAGAGGACTTATCTATGACACTACAGGGTGCTTTTTCAAAGCAGAAAGAAAACAAAGCAAAAGCTCTTGTGAAATAAGGTCTTGCACACTTCATCACTCTAAAACTGTTTTCCAGTGATATCGCGTGATTTAGGAGTAAAACTGCGACTTAACTCAAAAACCTCCATGACACTTTACTGGGATTATAAAATGCGCCCTATATCGATGCACTATATATTAATCGCTGTTGAGCGTAACAATTGCGAGGCATGCAGTGCACTTGTCAGAAATTCGATAATACGTGAAGTTTAATCTAGAGAGAAAGAATCAAAATTGGGATGAGTACGGCAAGGGAGAGGATTAACAGATAAGAAGCAGCTCTGTCGTAGCGAGCCAGCCCCGCCTACAGTGGGCGGGACACTCACGGAAAGGGTGGTGTTGAAGGTGAAACTGACTTCAATCTCAATTCTCGTGCAACCAAGAGTCTGCGAAAAAAAAAGAGATTAGGTGAGGAGTAGGTTCGTGAGTGAACTGAAGGAAGCATACACGCGAGGGTTAAGCGTTCTCTTACTGGGCGATGCTCATCGCCAACTTTCAAGACTTGATTTCAAGGTAAGCTGCAGTTACGAGAGTTTCGACTGGATGAAGAATGGTCAAGTTGTGCTAGGCATACTCAAAGCAACAATTCCAGATCCAATCCGCGGGATAAAAACTCTCGATAATGAAGTTATGAACGGCGAGTTGACTGCTAATAGGAAGAAAGCGAAGAACGCCAGCGGACCCTTTAAACAGAGGCTTCCCCTTCTTCCCCTTTGAAATGAGGGCAGGGCAGTCGAACGAGTTGTCTGAATTGGCTTGCATGTCTTACTGGCTCAAGCCAGCAAGGAATGCGGCTGCAATCGCATTTGCCCTAACAAACAGAGACATATGCATAATTACAAACAAAAAAAAGAATACACCAAATTGAAAGACTTGAACAAGTAATAAGCAATCGAAAAGAACATAGCATTAAATTCTGAAACGCGGGTTGGGATATCAAGTAACAAGCAATCGTGCAAATAGAACCGACATCCAAGCACGCGCTCAACACGGCTGGAGGGTGCCATAGATGCCGTTGAAAGTTTCAACACCACACTATGTCAACGGGGCGTTCATTTCTTTTCTTCGCGGGCTTTCGAGGTGGGTTTTCTTTTCAACTACGCTTATGTTCTTCACTAGAGCTAGTGCTTCCTTTAACCCCATTCGTATTAAAGGCAACAGACTGCTGGGACTGTCCCTTACGGTAAGCGGAGCCCCTGAGCCCTCAATTGCCCTCAAACTTTTGATACTCAAAACATTCACAGCTCCTAAGGCGTCCTAGAACTGAGAAAGGGGAAAAGACTACATTGCAGGCAAATGTCAAATACTTTGTTGATACACAGAGAGGCAGGAGGCAGATCTTCAACGGAATCACTGATCGGAGAGAAAATACGTCAGGAACCGGTGAAGGAGATTTAGACGCTCACTGTGAGCGGCGTACGCACCTACTGCGCCGACTAAGTCAAAAACTACACTTGTTTTGTTCACTATCGTCAGAACCATGCGTGATGTGCTGCGAAGACAAACTGGTAGTTCATAAGTAAAAATTGGGATCCATTCAGCGCACCGTTTGCCAGAGGTGAACATTAGCATTGAGGCTTCAAATTGTCTCGCTAGCCCAAACCGACTAACTCCTTCAGCACTCCAGAGCAGCTTCGAGTTCGATATAGGATTTATTGTTGGTGCAAACAAGTGTTGGAAAGTCCTGCCTCGACCTCACACATCCGTGCTAAGGATTAGGAGGATAAATAAGCAATAAGCAATCAATGAGACTGCGGATTTAAATGAGATGGGATGAAAGAGATGAGCACATTCTTTTCTTAAGCTCTTCTGTGCAACAATCTCTCATTCCCTACCAAATACATCTACATGAACTTTAAAATCCATGAACCTCTCATGGTTTAATACCAAGGACCTCGCCTGCACTACAGAGATAAAAGGAAGCACTATACAGAGTACAATCCATTTAAAGAAGCTAACTTCTGTCGCCCACTTCCCCAAATGAAATTTGTTGTACTTCAAAATCGAAATCTCAGAGGTATGGCCTGAGCATGTACAGTCCATATCCGAGAGTTGGGGTAGGCGTGTCACCGGAAGTGACGTGCACTTGATAGAAGTTGCGTGGATAAGCTGTTGCCAGCATGCTTTGCTGATATCCAGCGATGTATGTTGGAAGCAGCTTATCCACGCGACATTCTATCAAGTGCGGCTGCTTCCGGTGACACGCTAACCCCAACTCTCGGATATGGAGTGTGGCTCTAACATGAAGTGATTGGATAAGATCTACCACGGCAGAGGGAAAAATCGTTACGAGTAATAAAGGAAACCAGAACTAAACAGGAGCGCCTTTATGAAACTCGACCAAGTAAGGAGTATGTGATCCACTTAACATTCGTCACAGTGTGAACAGAAATTCACAACTCCCAACAAATTTACCCTTGTTTCTTTCCGCTTCCTTAGATAACTTCCAACCATGTACATACTACAACTCAATATCCACGATTTCTTCGTGGATA